CTCCTATGCTACTGGTGTCATGGAGACTATGATGATGAGTGATAACCCACACATGACTGACGATCTTCTCCAAGAGCTTGACAGCATTAATGTGAATATAACACGTCAGCTTACTCTTCAACTCCTTGCTTTAAGTGAAGAAGCGACCCTTATCATTGAAGCAGCAAAGGCTCTTGTTGAAATGAACAATGTTAATTCAAGCTACCCTCCTGTAAGGCAGTTTTACCTCCTGGGACTGCAGCTGGAGAAAATGAGAGGTCAATTATTAGATGGAGCTAGTACAGCAAGAAAAAGGAGCATAACAACCAAAAATAGTTATTGTACTGCTGCTGAAGGATACTGTGCTAGATGTCCTTTCCCTCTTGGTGACAATGATTGTTTTGGTATGTGTGGACGTGGTTGCGATTGCTGGTCACGGTTGTGTGGTGATTGCTGTGTTCACCAATACTGTTTGACTCATGATGCCTGTTGTGCTAGAAGAGGTTTTTATACATGGGCTTGCCTTCGAGTTGGATATGATTATTTTTTTAGTAGTTGTAGTGATACCTATGATTGCTGATAATGTAAACCAGAGTACTATAAATGTGTGTAACTTTAAGGTAACTATTACTGATTATTTTTAGAGTAGCTGTAGCTATAATTGTGTGTATTGTCTGGAATTTAGGTGTGTACATATTTTTATTCTTCTTTATCAATTTTTGTTAATATCTTTTTTTTTGTCAGTTGAAATGTTTTCTCATGTCTTTAGAAATTTTTTGTCACATTTTTATTGTTTTGAAAAGTCTTTATAATAAACAAAAAAGTGACTTAGCTAATGTGAAATCTACAAAGAGTACTATGCATAAGTACTTGATTATATGCTACAAAGTCTCTATAGTACATGCTATGAAGCACACACTCCTTTTCTCTAGTTTTATTACTCAGGTGATGAGTAGTGTAGGCAGGGATACACTATTGTCAACAAATCCCAAGTATGCTGTTGGTATATATAGGTTTTATTGGAACACCTGTCCTCAGTGTTCGATTGGAGTCACGGTAAACAAGTCATCATTTTGTCTTCACAAGGACACTGTAATGTGCAAGAGAAGTACTTTTTTTGTACTGGTGTTTATAGTGGTACTGATAGCATTGCTATATGTTCATGCTCCTAAAACCCATTCTTACTAATGACAAGCCACATAGTGAACCTACTGAGGAAACAGGAGTTGAGGGAGCTGTGATGATAGCTGAAATGCTAGAGGAGTTTTCAGGTGATTTATACTATGGATCTGAAAATGCTGGGTTTCGTTTTCAAATGGCTGTCAATTCTACTTATTATATTCTAAGAATTAGCAGTATTGGTACTGGTATTGGATATCATTAATGTCATTCATCCCCAGTCCACCAATATGACCATGACAAGTATCTATAATGTCACTTTCTTATTTCTTATTTTGTCAACTAGTCTTCATAAAGGTATTCATTATCAAAAGATCTTGCTCTCAGTGTTAGCTTTAAAAAGAATTATCAGTTTGGGCGCTCGACCACATGTTCTTATATAAATTATGACGTATGCAAATTGTCATAATACGTCATTTTGGTATGAAATTAGGTTTATAGGG